TACAGGAGCATAGTGTGTACCATGGGGAACTGGAAATCCCTGCCAGCAAGTTGCAGAGCAAAGAGACAGGCTGTGTCAGGCTTGTTGGTAAAGGGACGTTTGTTCACTAGACCAGCACAGCAAGCCACCACCTAGAACAGAGTAAGCTAAGCTCTGTAAAAGTGCGGTTTTGTCAGTTTAGCTGCATCTATGCTAGGGTCTTCTAGCAGCATAGCTATGCCTGGCAGGGATCGTACACAGCTTTTTGGTGAGAGCAAGATCTTTGTAGCATAAACATAACCACAGACACAGAAAAGCTAGAGAAATAAGGAAGGAGAGAGAGAAGGAAGTGTGCACACATGCATGCAAATGCAAACGTGCGCGCGCGCGCGCACACACACACACACAGAGTAAAAAATAGCAGTAGCCTTAAAACTGAGCCAATTTTCTCAAACGTGACCAAGCTCTTTCTGCTGCCCCACTGACACGGGTGGCACCCTGTGACCTCTGGGTCACGGGGCACGAGCACCAAGTTCACACCGTGGTTGAAGGACCACAACCCAGCCTATCCCACAGGACGTCCATCATCTGTGATCTAGTCTCTGTGCCTGAACTAAGGACAGGGCGCTCACTTGCTGGCGAGCGGTGATGCAAAGCTGTTCTCCCCTCCCCTCAAGCCAGCTTTGTGTTGCAGATGCAAGTGTACAGAGTTAGTGTCAGACACAAGTACTTACCTATAATAGCGTGACTGCAAATAAGTGGAGCACACGGCTTTGGATACGTGGCTGGCTGAGCCAAAGTCAATGACCTTCACTCTGTAAGGCTGGCGCACAGGATCCACCAGCATGATGTTTTCTGGTTTCAAGTCAGCATGTATCAGACCTAGGCTCTTGAGCTTCATCAAAGCAGTGGCCACCTGCTGCAGAATCGGCCGAATGTATTTCAGGGGCAAAGGACTAAACTTGTTTTGTTTTAAGAAGTCATATAAGTTCTGTTCTAGCATCTCAAACACAAGGCATGTGTGGTTCTTGTGTTGAAAGCACTCATAAGAGCGAACAAAGTTGTACTCGTCAGCATTCTCACTGCTCAAGCGGGAGAGGATGCTTACTTCTATTTGGCCCTGCCGGGCGTAGGAAGGGTGGTTCTTCAGGATTTTGATGGCTACTATCTCCTTCGTGCTACGCTTCCAGCATTTTGCCACCTGCCCAAACGTCCCCCGGCCCAGGAACTCCAAGACCTCGTAGCTATTTGTCATGGAGCAAAGGATCTCGTGCTGGACCAGCTGGTAATCCCCCTCACCACTGGAACTGCTGCTCTTGGTGGTTACAGTGGTGGTCGTGGCCGCAGCACCCACCGCAGGTCTGTTTTGCAGCATGAGAGGTGGATGTTCCTCGATGATCTGCACACTGCCGTTGCTGTCAACCTCTTCACTTTTCCTTTTTAACCCACATTTTTGGTACGGTTCCAGCAGAGAAACGTTGCTCCGGTGCGCCAGGGTCTGGCCACTCTGGAAGGACGTTGTTGCGCCACTGCCTGTGCTGTCCGCGGCCGTCACCACGATGTGCTCAACCGAAGGAGCCGGGAGAAGCAGGGTCTGGTCGTAAGCGGGAAGGCTGAAGTTGGCTACCTGGTGAGAGGAGCCGGCTTGCCCCGGGGCTGCCGGGAGGTTTTTGCCGTGGGTATAATACTTGTCGCTGGTGCTCTGCCCCGAAACATCCCAGCCGGAGGGCTCCACCTTCAGCTTCTTGGCACTGCAGAAGGCGCTCGACGACACTGACGGCGGGGAGAACACCTGCAGCTGTGAGGCCATACCTGCGACAGGGCGGAGGGAGAGCGGGTCAGCCACGGCGGACAGCCTTCCCCGCCACAGCCCGGCCGCGGACGCGGACACGGACGGGCAAGGGCAGGGCCCGGCGGCC